CTTTCACCCTTCCCTACATTTGTACTCTGTTCCCTTTGCCTGGGGCGTTCTCCCTTCTTCAGTACTCACTCTGGCTAACTCCTCATCCTTTAACATCCAACTCAAAACACAAAACCATCACGGCCACTGCCTCTCCCCCAAAGAGGATGCCATCAGCCCTTCTCTGCACTCTGTATGGGGACTGTGTGTGTACTTTGTCTCCGCCACCATGCTGTGAGCTCATAGTGGCCCGAGAGCCCAGCACCCAGCGCGCGGTGAGCTCCGTAGGTGTCTGCGGAATGAACGAACGAATGATCGGATCTTTCCAAGGGGTTAGCGCCAAGCTGGGGGTAGAGGAAAATGATTCAAGACACAGGGGTTAGCTGAGCACCGTGAAGTGTGGTCTTCGCAGAACCGAGCCTGTGTCAGGCCGTCGCCATGAACCCACCTCTGAGAAGAACCCCAATAGAAGTAGGTCAGTGCCCGCCTACGTCTTTAAGAACCAGAGGCTTCGCGCCCGCGCCTGCGCACTGAGAGAGTAAACAGCTCTCTTCCCCTTTTCCCAATTGCCCCGTCGGCTGCAGCCCCCTCCCACATTGCCTTTCCTGGGGTGGGGTGCTGGTCCGTCCCTGGGCGCCCGGCTCGTCCTGGAGGGTGGCGACCGTCAGTGGTACATCCTGCTGCTTTCATTCCCTCCCGCCCTGCGCGCCGCCTCGGCTCCCAGTCTCCCTGCCGGATGCAGCGCAATAGGCTGGCCCGACACTAGGAGGGGGAGCCGGGCTGAGGCGACCGGTCTGAGCCGGTCTCCGGCGCAGGCGCAGTGCGGATAAACAGGAAGCTGGTGGTAGAGGCAGCGGCAGGAGAGATCTCGGGGTTTCGGGGGGAAACAGCGGAAGAAGTAAGCTTGTAGGGCCGGCAGCCGAGGCTAACGGAGAAGGAGGAAAGCAGCTTTTGCCAGCCGCCTCCAGGGAACGAGAGGTGCAGCTTCGCTCTCGGCAGAGGCCTCCCGCTCCGCAGCTGAGGCTGAGGCTGCAGCTGACAAAGGGCTCGCTCTGGTGCCGCCGCCCTTCTCATCCGGGCATCCGGGTCCCTGCGGCGTGGGAGGGGGGAAGGGCGGAGGGGGAAGGGCCGGAGCCAG